CCCTTCCCCTGCGGCCTTCCTGGAGAGGGCCCCTTCCCCTGCGGCCTTCCTGGAGAGGGCCCCTTCCCCTGTGGCCTTCCTGGAGAGGGCCCTTCCCCTGCGGTCTTCCTGGAGAGGGCCCCTTCCCTTGCGGCCTTCTTGGAGAGGGCCCCTTCCCCTGCGGCCCGCGCCCTGGACACCCCCTTCTCAGCCGCCGGAAGAGCTCCTGCGCCTCACTCATGCACCGGCGCTTCCCGCGGTTCCCAAGGCCCCTCGCCGGGGCTGTCCCTCCTGCCGTGAGCTGCCCGAGGCCGCGGCCCGCTAGGCGACAGGGTCCTGCCTACGGGACAGTCAGGAAGGGCAACCCGGAGCCCACGAACAAACACTGGCTCGGCCCCCAGTGGTTGGCCGTCCCGGCCTGCCAGGAAGGGACCCCACAGGCGGCTTCGAAGCTGCTGTAGACGTCAGCCCTGCCCTCCCGGCTGACTTTCCAGAGCTCCGTCTGGATGCTTTGGTCCCTGGATTGCTGTTTACCACGCACTTCCGGTAAGGGGGTGTCTCCAGACTAGTGAGGAATATAGGTCCTTTCCCAGACCAGCTGCGACCTGCACGGAAGAGGAGCCCCAAAGCCGGGGAGCCAGGGGCCCTGGGGGCCCAGCGGCCCAGCCACGTGGCCCAGCGGGCGCCTGGCCTCCGTCCCAGCGGTCCGGGCCCTCACCTCAGGCAGCCCCGCCCCAGCCCCTGGGGCCGCCAGCATGGCGCAGTCTCGGCAGCGCGGGTTCTGCCTCTCCCGGGGAGACCAGCGTACCCGTCCTAGCCGCTCGTCAGGCCCGTGTGGCTTGGCCTCTCAGATGGGGCGAGCATTCTAAGCGACACCGCCTGGAGCGGGCCCATGCGTCCGAGTGGGTGACTGCGTTCACCCCGACTGCACGTGTCCGCCGCTTTGGGCGACCGCCCGCTGTGTGCAGACGCGTTGACTCCATCACTTGGGGCCCCTGCGGAGGAAGGAGGGCATCAGGGTGACCTGAGGCTGGCCAGCCAGTGAGTGGTGAGGCTGGGACCCCACCCCCCGCCAGCGGCCTGACTGAGCTGACTGGGCTGCCTCTTACAGACAGATGAAGGCCTCTGTTTCCTTCGCTGCTATTAGTATATTGGACAAGTAATTTAATTAAAAGTAATGAAAGTCTTCATCTCCGTTAATGGAGAGCAGTGATAATGCCAGCCAAGTAGTAGCCTATTTAATTGTGTGCCAATTATACATTGCACATTATTCAACGAGACGCATAAACAACAGGGACGCGGCTGCCTGCCCAGCCTGGGCCCAGCCTGGGCGCTTAGCTGGGCCCAGCGGAATGGGGCAAGGGCCTGCGAATGAGCTCACAGCCCGGAGCACCCCGCAGCAGCCCGCCGGCTGCAGAGCCGCTGCTCGCCCCCGGCCGGGGCTGCCTCTCCTGCCGCTGCTGGGTCTCGGCCGCCTGGGACTGGAGACGAGGGAGCAGCACAGGAGAGCGGGGGAGCGGGATGGGCTGTCCCCTCGCTGGGAGGGCACTGTGTGCCAGGACCTCTCCTGCTGAAGAAAGGGGTGCAGGGAGTTAGGAGAGGCACTGCCCTGGGCCCTGGGCCGCTCCCCGACCGCCGCCCTCCGCCTCTGTGAGAGGCCCGCTGGTGTCATCGCTCGCAGCTAAGTCACCGCAGTTCTCTCCCCGGCGCTGGGAAGAATCACCCGTGCCCTGCCTATTCCTATTCTTGATGTCGTTAACTGCAGCTCACATGATTTCGTAAGTAGGAAGTCCAAAACAATCTTCCAAAATGCGCTAGTCAATAACAGAGTTCAGAGACCAGTACTCTTTCCTGAAACAGCAATAAACAAGTCACAGAAGAACTTAAAAAAATATCTCTAATGGTATTTTTTTAAACGATTTTTATTTATTTATGCACACAGAACTGGGGTACAGGCCAGAGGTGCAGGGGCGGTGAGAGGCTTCACCAGAGGCAGAGTGGGGAGCAGAACAGGCAGATGGACTGAAACCCACCGCTGAGGGGAGCAGCGGGGAGACAGGAGAGGGCTGCTGCGCCCTGGGGTCACTCCAGGCAGGGATCGAGCTCGCACTGAAGCAGCTGCGGCCAGCGTGCAGGGCTGCGCTTGAACCCGCTGAGCCACCAGGGGGGCCACTAATAGTATTTTTAAAAACCAAATACCTGGAAATATATCTAGCAGAAAACACGCAAATTCTTAATGAAGACGATAGAAATTATAGAATATTATTACATAAGTAATATCAATCCTTTACAAATTTCCTGAATAGATGGGAGGAAGGATTATTTCCTAGCTCACTCTTCTAGGCCATTAGCACTCTGAAACCAAAGCCAGACCCCAAAAAGCACAGGAAAAGAACCATAAATCACTACCTTTGATGAGTGTAATTGCAGATATTCTCAGCAAAATACCAAGAAACTAAGCCCGGCAAGGTGCAGAAAGGACTGAATGCTTGCTGTGACCACGTGAACTTTATTCCAGAATTACAAGATTGGCCTAACTGCCAAGAAAAAAAAACCCGTTAACATAACATACGATGTTAATAGAATGAAGGACAAAGCTTCCGTTGCCCCAGGGCGCAGCAGCCGTCCCCCGCCGCTCCCCTCAGCAGTGTGCTTCGCCCATCTGCCTGTTCTGCTCCCCGCTCTGTCTCCAGGGAGTCTTCTCACCGCTGCTGCACCTCTGGCCTGTACCCCAGTTCTGTATGTATAAATAAATAATCTTAAAAAAAAATACACTTAACAAAAGAAGGGCAGATACACTTAGAGTCACAAAACCCTGTCCAGGGAGGTCAAAGATGTACACCAATGGAGAGACTTCCCATGTTCATGGATAGGAAACTCAGCGTGGGCAGGATGGCGGTTCTCGGCGAAACCGATCTAGAGTTCAGTGTAAGCCCCAAGAAAATTCCAGGTGGAATTTTCCAAGTTTTCTTTATTTATAGGCGATTCTGTTTTCACCAGTGCAGGAGGGGAGAGGATAACCTTTTCAACAATGGTGTTGGGACAAGTAGGTCATCACCTGTAGGAAGAGGAATTTAGGCCTTTACTAAGTTTATACACCCACGAAAATGAATAAAAAACAAGCCACAGGCCTAAGCAGCAAGGCCAGCATGATAAAACTCTTACCGAGGGCCCGCTCAGAGCCCTGTGATCCAGAGTCAGGCAGGTGGCTCAGAGACGACGCTGGCACACAGGGCCCATGAGAGGACAAGTCAGTCAGTTGGACTTGTCAAAACCTCTGAAAATTTGGGCTTCAGAAGATCAAGGAAGTGAAAAGACAAGCCCAGACTGAGAGCAAATCCATGTAAGTCCTGTACCCAGCAAAGGAGACAAGAGCTGTTAGATCGTGCAGAGGACAGCGGCCCCAAAATGGGCAGGGGGTTGAGACATTTCATCAGAGACACACAGAGCCCGTTGACGGACGCGTGAGAAGATGCTCGCATCACTAAGTGGGGTCCCCCCTCTGGGAGAAGAGCGTCTGCAAGGGGGGCCGGGCACAGCTGCTCCCCCACCGCCCCTGCCAGCGGAGACGAGCCCCGCCGCTGCCCTGGGGAGCAGCATGGTCGTCTCGGCTTACACCGGGCCTGCGGCC